TCTTCTCAGAGTCAGCCATAGCTTGTTGTGATCCACACAGTCAAAAGCCTTTGCATAGTCAATGAAGCACAGATAAACATTCTTCTGGTATTCTCTGCTTTCTGCCAAGATCCATCTAACATTATAATATCTCTAGTACCACGGCCTCTTCTAAACCCATCCTACACATCTGGCAGTTCTTTGTGAACAAGTTGCTCCAGTCGTTTTTGGATAATTTTCAGAAGAATCTTACTAGCATGTGATATTAATGACATTGTTCGATAATTTCTGCACTCTGTCGGGTCAACTTTCTATGAAACAATATGAACAAATATCTATCTCTTCTAGTCAGTTGGCGAGGGGACTGTCCTCCGGATTTCTTGGCACAACTTAGTGAGCACATCCAGGGCAGACTCTGTTTGTTGCAGTATTTCAATTGGTATGCCATCAACTCCTGGAGCCTTGTTTTTTGCCAGTTCTTTCAGATCAACTTAAACTTCTTCCTTCATCACCACAGGCTCTTGCTGATACATTGTTTCATGAAATTCTTCTGTGTCAGCCAGTTCCTTCTGGTATAGTGACTCTGTATCCTTCTTTCATCTTCTTTTAATGCTTCATGGATCATTTAACATTTTACCCAAAGTATCCTTAAGTATTGCCACTCATGGCTTAAATTTGTTTGTCAGTTCCTTCAGTTTAAGAAATGCTGAGTAAGTTCAGCCCTTTTGATTATCTGACTTCAGTTCTATGCCCATTTCATTATAATACCTTGCGTTGCCTTCAAGCTGTCCTTGGAAATTTCGTGCTAAGCTCTTTAATTTTGTCCTTTAGCGTTGGCTTCTTAGCACTCTAGGGCAATATTCATAGTCTCATCTAACATCACCTTCTGCCTTTGTAATGATCTTTTGCATTCTTCATGGACGATACTCTTTTTTTTTTTGCTTTTTCTCTCTATTATTACTATTAATTTCAATGAACATCTTCAGAGATTTTAGAATTCCATTCATTCATTGTTGCACTTTTCTTCCCCCCCCTCCAAGCCCACCACCCCCACCCACAGTTCGCTCCTCTCCTTGAAAAGCAAAAGAAAAACTCCTTCATTGGTACACAATCCCCCCCACACACCCCCCAACCCCAACTTTTGCACCACACAGGGGAACTATAAGGCTTCTATCTACCCATCAGAGCTCCCTAAACGGTTTTCAGTGTCTTAATGTCATGAGAAACATTACCACAACATTGTCTCTTTTCTTTTTTTAAATATTTTTTCACTTCCTACTAGTTTATTTACAAAATTCTAATACATTGTTTTCAAGAACAAATTCTTTCAATTTCCCTCATCCCCCACCCAACAAATTGTATAAACCCATGACAAATACCCCTCCCCCTGCACATCCTCATCCCTCTGCTTCCCACCTCTCCACCCCTCCTTTATACTCATTCTACAACAATGGTTTTATACAATATTTATCCTTGTAGGACTGAATTAGTTCACTCAGCATGATGCTCTCCAGTCCCTCTCAAGTTAGGTAATAATTTACAAAGTCATTGCTCCTGCATTCTGCGTAGTATTCCATTGTGTGAATGTACTATAATCCATTTGTTTGTGGTTGTACATTTGGGCTGTTTCCAGGTGGGATTGTAAAACGGTACAACCATTCTGGAAGACAGTTTGGTGTTTACTCAAAAAGCTGAACAGAGAAATTCCATATGACCCAGCTATTCCACTACTTGGACTATATATACCCTGAGAAAATGAGAACTGAGGCACAAATGGAGATTCGTACACCAATGTTCATAGCAGCATTATTCACCATCACAACCTTTTCTTATGGATTGTTGTTGTTGTTGTTGTTGTGTTGTTGTTATATACCATCAAGTCAGAATCCCCCCATAGCTGACCCTCCGGTGGGTTTTCAGAGGCAGTAAATCACACAGCAGGTGATTGCCCATCTTTTCTCCTGTGGAGCAGCTGATAGCTTTGAACCACAGGCCAACAGGATAATAGTGCAACACCTAACCACTAGGCCACCAGAGCTCCCTCCTATGGAGTAACTGGAGGGTTCAGACCTCTGACACCTTGTTAAGGGCTGAATGCTTAGACTACTGAGCTGCCAGAACCCCTCATCCTTTGCTCATAGAACCTGGGGAATGAGGTAGTCTGTTTTGTGTGAGTGCCTTTCATACACACTCTGGTTAACACAATAGTTTCTTGTCTATTTAAGTGGCCAGCCTGGAATTTGTTCCTAGGGTCTGGGCTTTACAAGAACCTCAGCAGAGAAGACCTAGTAAGAAAGGGCCCACAGCCAATTTCAACTCATGGTGACCCTATACATGTATATATCAGAGTAAAAATGTTGATCCAGAGAGTATTTAAATGACCAATTTATTTTGGAAGTAGATTGCCAGACTTTTTTTCTGAGGCACTTCAGGGTGAACTTGAACCTCTAACCTTTTATTCAGCAGCCAAAAATATTAACTATTTGTATTATACCAAGACCCCCACTTGAATTTAAATCCCAATTTAATCAGTTATTTAACCTCTTTAAGCCTCAATTTCCTCACCTTAAAAATGAAGAGATCAGTAGCCTTTGTCAGAGGCTGTGAGGAGAATTAAGTAAATTAACACCTCTAATCCTTAGATGAAGCCT